GTTTCAGGGTAGTAGGCGGCAGTCGTTCATCAAAATGTAAGAGATTGAACTGCTCGAGTTCTATTGTTTAGCAACGTTGTATCACGGGAAACAAATTTTGGATACGCTTGGAATGGAGATTACATTCGAGATTTTATTTTTACTTCGGTACATAAATTTTGGTATCGGTAATAGATTTTATCCCTGCATTTTTCGACCGTTATTCACTACCTGGCTATGAATTATCATTTTCGAGAAAGTATCCGTGGTTGTAAAGAAAAGTGTACATCATGGAGATCAAAAAATTCTAATTTACAAGATAATTAAGCTGCGAAATGTCATATATGTAGGAATGGAATATGTATTTGGAAAATTCAACGCAAATTCGATAAACGCGAAATTACTCGGGGATTTAAACGAATTTTCGTATCACGAAATTACCGAAATTATTTTTGGTATATAGCCGAGAGCAGCGGTTATTGCAGCGGGTTGTTTTAAACGCGCCTAATCGATTCGCGTTAAAAAAAGGAGGGAATGGGAAAAAGCAAAGGAAACTTACGTATGTGTGCGCTTCAGTACGACCAGATTAAAGCTTCATCCCGCAAAGCTCGTTGGGAATACGCGAAAAATGGGAAATGCTAAAAATCGTATCCTGCAGTTCCGTATTAATAGCAACGAAATTTTTTGACCTTCCATTTCGAGAATATAACTACCACTATATTATACTTATTTCCCATTTCTATTATTTCCCTAATCCCCAAAGTGTCTATCAGAAAACGAATAAAAAATTAAATAAATTTACTTATACAGAATATTAATACAGAATATTGCTCTGTTTAAACAAAATCGAATAAATTAAAAGGTCAAAAACGAAGAAGAACCTAAACTAGCTATTTACAAAATACCTAACAACGACACTGCAATTAAAGTAAGTCTCCCGTCACGATCCTAATGAAAAACATGGAGGTATAACGAGAAAGAAAACACACGAAAAAGGAAAAAATAAAAAGAGGGAAAAGAGAGCAGAATAGCACGCAACATTCGATATGTGCACGCACTATAGTTACATGTCGGCTAGTAGCTTTTCATCACGTTTGTACTTTTTCCTCTTTTTTCTTCTGTTTTTTTTTTTTCTTTTTTCCTTTTTTTCGACGAAGCCGTGTAAACACGACACGAGGGAGGATGCTTTTCACGCTGATGCCTGTACACAGAACGTAATGTCATTAGCTTATCTCCGCCACGGTCTGTTGCAGCTTTTGAAATTGTGCATCACCCGCTGGAAGAAGTCGAAGGAGGGGGGCCAACAGAAAGAGAAAAGGGGAGAATACAGTGGTGGACAGGCGAAAGAAGAGCGGCGAGGGAAACAAAGGAAAGTAAAAAAGGGGGCGAAATGAAAGAGAAAATGGGATAACGAGGGGAATGTCATAAGGCGAGTTACAATTTCGAATGACGTTTCCAGCAGCTGTAAATCAGAGGGTCGAAGAGAAAAGTCGAATCTTCGGAAATGGTAGGAAATATCGACACCAGAGATGCAGGAATTGCAAGGAAATAATATATAACTGCGATAATAATAGAACCAAGAAATTCAACTAACAACAGAAAGAGAAGGGGACAAAAATTCGAAGAAAACAGAATGCAGGAATAAGAAATAAAAATAAAGACGGAGGTAGGATAAAACCGCCAGTGACTGACATCGATGGAAATCCAGCTGCCTGGATCCAGCTCCAAAAAAGGAAGCCAAAAGCCAGAGAAAAAAGGAATCGTATAGAAACGTAAGAAAGGAAAATAGCGACGCAATAAGGGTAAAAATGGGACCGCATAAATCGAGGAAAAGGGAGGGAAAGGAAATAAAAGAGATGAAAAATTGAAGTGGCGAAACGATTAAAAAGGCGAACAAGGGAAACGTAGGAAAAGCAGCCGCGGAGATGGTAAAACGAGCGAGACCGAGATACAGAAGCAGAACGAAGGGGATGAAAAGGAAGAGAGAAAGAGAGAACAAAACGAGACGGTGGAAAAGAGCAGAGAGAGGGTGGAGAATGGGAGAAGGAAACAAAAATAGAGGGAGGAAAAAAGGAGAAAATGGGGAAAAATAGTCGACGCAAAGAGGAGGGCGATAGGGATGGAAGGGGTGGAAATGGGGTAGAAAGGGGGTAGAAGAGCGAGAGTGGTAAAGGCTGAGCACACGAGAGGAAAAAAGGATTTCAAACACATCCCGCCACGTATGAACACAAAAAAACGCTCCCTTAACACTCTTATCTCGTAAATTCAATTGCACCCTCTACTGTGCATGCTCTCTTTTTTACATTAAATCTTTTTATGCACGTCCTATTGCGTTTAATGCGCTTAACGGTATAACTCGTTCAAAGGGAATGCTTTCAAGCCACCTCTGTTCTACGTCTTCGATCCTTAATTCATAATTCGTTCAAAAGCAACCGGCGCCGTTAAAATTGCGAAAATTCCATTATTCCGCGATGACGAGAAAAAAACCCTGTTTGCGGAGTTTATTTTCCAAATTTACACTACATTTCCTGGAATCTGTGTGTCTCTTTTATCGTGGCTTTTATCCAAATAGCCTAATTATGCACGCTTGTTTATTTTCATTGTACCATTTTAATTATTATCCATGTATATTATACTTAAGTACATATTACATACCGACAGTTTTAGCGTTAAGAAATACTATTCAACCCTTTGCACTCGACGATTTTTCCATTACAGGAAAATAGTAATTCGATGACTTTCTGCCATGAAGTCGACGATATTTCCAAAACGGTAAATAAGAAATCGTATGCAAATTAAGACGTAGATTTATTTTACTTCGATATTCCAAACATCATTGGATAATTGTAAATTTGATATACTAATTAACATCCATCTTTAGAATTTAATTAAATGACGACTAAGAGGCGCCTCTAGAGTGCAAAGGGTTAATACCTGATATAATATCTAATTTATTAAGATTTATTGAAGACTAATACCCGATATCATAAATATATAATAAAATAAAATAAAATTTTGAAATATTCTTCTACGGTACCTAATATGATATCTGACATAATATCTAATTTATGTGGTAAATATATATACCTAAAATGAAAATTTGAAATATTTTTCATGCACCTTTTCGTTTTCTTTTTTACTAGACTAAAACACTACAGGTTAAAACAATTTCCTTTTATTCTACGCGTGTTACCGAAAGGTCGAATTACGAAACGAGGAAAAGAAATATGTAACATAATTCTAGAAATTCTATGCATTTCATGACGACATTGTTCCGACATGTAGATTCGGTCAGCATCGTACAAAAGCACAGCGGATGCAGTCGCGACACCACCAAAAGTCAAGGTTGGCCTGCAGCTTTATTCCACTAAGCGTGTTCGATGCATTAATATTAATACGATATTCATACGATTGTGTGATAGAAAAATGTCACTACAAACAGATGCAACAGATTCACATGTGTAACGAACGAGTAATATACATCTCCAGGTTGATTGTATCGCCTAATTTATTACCCGGTACAAATTTTTCTTTCATACTTTTATTTATTACACTGTCAAACTACGTCTTTCAAAAATAAGGAAACGGCTGCGGAATAAATTATACAATTGCTAAGTCTCCTAAAGTAGTTATGAATATGTCGTCAGGTTCAACTTTCAAAGAGGGGCATTCTTTGACGTCGCGCGTGATCCTCGATAGCCGAAAGAAACGTATGAATGGCATTAATTAAATTCTTGTAAATAAATTCTTCAACGCAAAACAACGATACCGAGGAGCAGATAAAAATAGATACCGTCATTAACCACGAAAAACTCTTACGAACGATTATGGTAATAGGAATGGTGGGAGGCGCAAACAAAATTTTGTGCGTCAGAAAAAATTCCGAAAGGGGCATGGGCAGGTCTCATTATACAATTTGCGCGCGTGACAAAATAAAAAAAAAAAGAGGAAGAAGAATACAACGTTCCGAATTTTCGATATTCCTCTCGGTAGAATTGAAATGATAAAAAAATAAAGAATTAACTATATTGTATTATTTTTAAAAACTCGAAAATAAATAATCCCGTTAAATTGAAATATTTGTATTCTGATTTGGTCATAGCTGGCTTTAAAAAGTTGGAAATAATAATATAAGTTTGAAAATAGCGTGAAACTGATTTTTTTTCGTACGTTTTTTGGTTTTTTCTATACACAATCGTGATGATTATCGTTATTTTTGACTTTCCGGTTTTATAAATAATCGAATCAAAAATTAATTATATTTTTTGCTTCTTTTTTTAAAGCGTATTAAATGGGTTGGAAATTTGTAAGAAATTAACATAAAACTCCTCATAAAATCTTATTAAATCTATATTAAGTCTAATAATATTTAAATTTCCATTTTGTATACCCGTTGAGTCTAATTTTTAATTAACATTAAAGGTTCGAATAAAATTTATTTCATTTACTCATTACTCTATCGTCATATTTCACTAACGCGAGACTCTCGTACGAAATGAATTTATTCGTGCCAATTATTACTTTTCAACGAAAAATTAAAAAGCTGCGACCTTTCCAAATATAATACCCAACGTAATACAAATTCAATTAAATTTTTCAACCCACAACTTTTTCGCTTATAACCGAACAGAACTAACGCGTGATTGAAATAATTTTATTCTCCCTCGTATTGAGAAGCTAAGATCGACTTTTCATGAGTAACCTTCAAATAAAGTCGCGCAAAGACAGCGAAGTGAAAAAAGAAAGAAACGCGAACAACCCCCATAAATGTGCATCTCTCGAAGCTTGCTCGAAAGAGACGAGGACACCGTTGCGCAAAGAAAATCCCTAGCCATTAAAATCCCTTCCATTTAGTATTTCCAACGAAATTAAATTAAATTGTTTACATTTATCCCGAAAGGGGTACACACTCTGACGTCGTGTATTTTTAATGCACCGACACAGGGGGATGTTGTCGACTTATAAACTGGCCGTTTAACAGGTTAAAGGAAACCCCTTGGGGGATTATAATTTTCGCTTACCAGCACAGCGACTTGACGGTATCATTCAGGTTCGCCCTCAGAGTTCTTGAGACATTCTGGGCGGTTTTCTCGAATTTCCTGTAGCAGAGCTCGTACTCGGGCTCTACCTTCTGCATGCATGGCAGGTACTGCAGGAACTCTGTAAACAGAAGAGGGGGAGAGGTGAATGAAGCTGCTTGCTACGAGAGCATGTAAATTGAACATGGTGAGTCGCGGGAATAAACGAGGAATTTTCTATTTTATTTTATTTCTTTCTTTTTTATTTTTCTAAACGCACGAGGGTAAATGGAGACGGGTAGGGCACCCTTTGCCTGGCGATTTATTTTAATACATTGACTATCATGGTGGCGATGAATAACAGATACTGCAACCTTCGATAAGCAATAGAGATGAATAAAAATTCGTAAAATACGAAAACAGAGAAATTTTATTAAATATGGTTCCAATATTTATTTAACCCTTTGCACTCGAGGGACAGATAGTGTCTCGGTGTGCGAGGTATCGAAATTAAATAATTCTATGTGCTAATTATTATACGATTTCTTATTCACTGCTCAGAAAAATATTGTCAGCTTTATAGCAGAAAATCTTTGGAGTCCTGCTCTTCTTTAGCCAAAAAATCGTCGAATGCAAAGGGTTAATATCTGCTACTTTTCGAAGCATAATCGTTTCGTCACTGTTCCTCACCGTTACCTTACAAATCCTCACACTTTAACCTACTCCCTATTTAGACACTCAAAATATAAAAATTTCGAAATTATGCCGAAATTTTACAACAAAATATGCGATCTGAGCTAGCAAGAAGACCAATAACAAATGGAAAGAACTATACCTAACATGGTCGACGGAATTTGACTACGTTTACCTCCTGGTATTCCAAATACACGTGACAGTTCTGTAGCAGTCGAACACACAAAGACGACATTGCAAACACGTGGTGAGAAGAGTTGGCAGTCAAGAAGGATCACGTACACGTGACTCCCGCAGGTGAAATGTCGAGATATAGAAGAATCTTTTGATTTACAGACCAAATATCGTAGGAATGGTGATAGGGTGAAAGTGAATAGAGTTTTGGGAGATACGTGTACCAAAAGGAGCAAAACGATAAAATAGAAGTACATAAGAATGATAGCTACCTAGTATAATAACACTGGCTACGCTGTTCCTCGCTCGACGAAGGCTACGAGGTTACTAAACTCTGTTACGAGCTCGATTTTAGGACTCTAAAAGGTAAACATTCGGCCCAATGCTATCGATTCTTTGTCTCGTTTTTCGTGCACGTGTATACACACGCACGTTCATATCCGGATACAACCAAATATCCAGTCCTAGGGCTGTTTCTACGCATTACCACGGTATTGAAACGTGAAAATAAAATGGAAAATGAATAATCACGGTTGAATGTTAACTGTGTCTATTTTGAGTAATTTAAATTTAATTAAATGGATATAATAGTGCATCTAATGGTAACAGTTCCATACGTTGAATACAGAATATTTCAGATTTTTCTGCCTGAATGGTTAATCATTTTTATAGGTGTATGACACTGTATTAATTTAAAGAGGCTAGTAGTATGATAATTCCAACACGAGCCTCGACACTTTCGTCCAGTTTCAAATATTTCTACCGAACTCTTGAAATTTCGTTCCCTAATTAGCTTCGAATTTTAATTAGTTAACAAATTGTCAGAAAGGAGAACGTAGATATACAACAGCTTCGAATTGTTACAAGTTTAACCATACGAAAATACCAAAAGCATCATTTATAGAAAATTAGGCTACATTCTAATTCAATTTCCATCGTCAACCTTTAACAGAAAACCAGTAATCCAATTAAACTAGTCAATCTACGAACGACTTCTCCATAATTTCTAGAAATGAACTGACAGATTCAGGAGCACGGGAATGTGATTTGATACGTACGCTGCTGAGCTGATCCACGAAATATCGAATTGAATTATGTTATTGAGTACACAAAGAGTATGATACGTTACGTAGTCGTATGACTACCGCCCACTGTCAGTATGTCGATCATCAGTGGTCAACAGGGTTTAAACGTGAAGATCAGTGACCGCCATAGAAGCGAACAGATTAATCCTTTCGTATCCAAATTATTTTCCCACGGCTGAACGAAATTTCCTTTTGTTCAAAATTTATACAATCCATGCAATTACTGAGATATCGAATAATATAAAAATAATTCGCAAGATATATCACTGTAAAATAAATATATTTCTACGATGGGGAACATAATATTATTGTTCGGAATATTTGAAACCACCATAATGTTTTCGAGAGCCAAACTTTTACGAAGGGTCAGAAATTTCAAAAATATATAATATAATAAGAAAATAATATAAAAATAATTCGCAAGATATATCACTGTATAATAAATATACTTCTACGATGGGGAATATAATACTATTATTCGGAATATTTGAAACCACCATAATTTTTTCAAGAGCTCAATCTTCACGAAGGGTAAGAAATTTGAAAAATACTTTTACCTGTATTGGATGGGATACACGTTGAAGAACTACCCTGGCATAAAGATCGAAGGAAATCAAAGGAAACTGGACATTCGACGAAGCTTCGAAACCAAAGCCACGAGCTGATTATTCAACGTAATTGAACAATCATGCAAGCAAGAATAATTACGCAGAAATCATAAAGTCCTTCTATCTTGAACGCTGCAAACAGCCGTTTCTACATTCGTGCATGTTATTAATTTTCCGGCGGTAGGAAAGCTTGGATAAACATAATAACATTAATAACAGAACCGACATCAGAGGTAAATCGAACGAGCCGCCAGTTCTGAAGTCGATTATCAATATTGACCTACGGGAAAACGCGAAAAACTGCGTGCGTACTTCTCATGTGGTCGAATCGATTCTGCTCGATTGGATGGTTGGCTTTTTTTCTATATCGACCACGCAATTAGCCTTTCGCGTTCCTAACGCCATTCACGGATATCCACATACGGATTCATGTGTACTTTTTAATAAATTCAAATCTCTGAATAATATGAAATAGATACTCAGGAGTCATAGGGGATACTCAGAAGATACACCAAGATTCAACAATTAATAATAGCCCATATAAATGACTCGTAGATCCTAAGATCTCAGAAATCTAAAAAATTTCAAAAATCGTATGAATCTCAGAAATTTCATAAATTCCAAAGATTTCAGAGATCCCAGAAATCTCAGAAACCAAGCAAACTTCGAACATCTGGAAAGTCTAAAAAATCCCATAAATCTTGAAATCATTTCATGGGTGTGAAAGATTTTAAAAATTTGCAATTCGAAACGAGCAGAGTTGCGATCGAAACGTGATTTTCTTAAAAAATTTCGAAGATTCGCAACATCGGCGAGCAGAGTCACGACCAAAACGTGATTTCCTAGAAAAATTTCGAAGATTCGTAACATTAGCGGACAGAGTCACGACCGAAACGTGATTTTCTTAAAAAATTCCAAAGATTCGCAACATCGGTGAGCAGAGTCACAACCAAAACGTGATTTCCTTAGAAAGTTTCAAAGATTTGCAAAATCGGCGGGCAGAGTCACAACCAACACGTGATTTCCTAGAAAAATTTCGAAGATTCGTAAGATCGGTGAGCAGAGTCACGACCGAAACGTGAGTTTTTCTCGCAGAAGGGGTAAATTCGATAGGGCAAGGGTGCATATGGGGACAACGCGGGTGGTAATTGCGCGAAGGCAGCGGCACAACTCGAACACAGGACCCGTGGAATAAACTCGATCGTTGGACGTCGATAATCGGGCTCGTTACGAGTCGCGTAGCCGGTATTGCTCTTAACGAGGCGCTAATCGCGTAACCGATTTCGAGATAGCAGTATAGATCGACCGGCCACACGGGCCAACGCAGCTCAATGACCACTCGACTCAATAACGCGTTCCATGCCCCGGAGACTGGAACACTGTTTAGCGTGTTTCAATTCGTGCATCATTCGCGAGCAACAGCGCCCGGTGAATCCGTTTCCTTTGCTTTTGCATCGGGAATGCTCTGTACGCGCCTCTATGCTCCCGTATAGTCGATTACATGCCGATTGTTTGTTATTGCATTGCGTTTGCATCGACGAATCTGTATCTGTGCGCGTACACGTAACATTAGATGGTTTACGTGCACTGTTTGAAACGAGTAACATGTGCGAGTTAAATTGAAATATATGGAACGATAATGACGTATGCAGTAAGAAAAAAAATTCGAGAATTATAGTATTTGCGATGCATTCGTTACGAGCGTGCATAATTGGTGAATCACAATGTGCGATATGTAATGTTGATTCGTTTATTGTTACATATGGCAGCCTTAGCGCGAATTTTCGTTGAGTATACTGACGCCATTGTGAATAGAATTTACAACGAGTGTACACCGTAAATTATTTTTCGTGTTTAATGGCATGTGCGAGTTAAATTGAAATATTTGAAACGATGATGACGTATGTACGCAGCGCGTACACGTAATATTAGATGGTTTACGTACACTGTTAGAAACGAGTAACATGTGCGAGTTAAATTGAAATACATGGAACGATAATGACGTATGCAGTAAGAAAAAAAATTCGAGAATTATAGTATTTGCGATGCATTCGTTACGAGCGTGTATAATTGGTGAATCACAATGTGCGATATGTAATGTTGATTCGTTTATTGTCACATATGGCAGCCTTAGCGCGAATTTTCGTTGAGTATACAGACGCCATTGTGAATAGAATTTGCAAGTGTACACCGTGAATGGCATACATATTGAGTTACTTTTCATGTTTAGTGGTATGTTTACTCATACTGTATTAAATATTTCAGTTTAACGTGTGTATGTAATTCATTTGTCGAATTAGATTTGGGTTTTATATTCATGACTGATTAAATGAATTAAAGAATATTCAAGTTTCCGTTTTACGCGTGTAGAATAATAATACGCGTAATAATTGTATTTGCGAATGGGAAATTTGAGATTGCTAACAGTTGAGATTGCGGGAGATATACGGTAAACGTTTGAAATATCGAGATACTTTGAGCACAGCGAATACACACGTGGAAGTTGGAGGATTGATGTTGAAAATTAATGAATTTCACGAGTTATGACATAGAGAGAGAGATATTTTGCACTTAACGCGTTGAATGCCTTGGGAATCAAAGCGATTCCGTTCGTCAGTGGTGACCATGACGGCCAATGACGTCAAAATTATTAAAAAAAAAAAAAAAAAAAAAAAAAGGTACGACATAAATGAAATTTATGCGATAATGAAATTTAATGAAAACATTCGTGCAAATTTTCAATGTCATTATCATCGTGATAAAATAAAAAAAAAAAATTAACGCACGATGAGGAATATTTAAATGATTTTATTTTTAAATAAAATACTACTTTCAATATTTAAATTAATTATCACAGTGGATAAATTATTTAACATAGGTCCAGCAAACCGGTCAGTTAACGGTGAGCTTGAGGACCAATGGTAAGAATTAATTATATTAATTATTCTTATTTTATTCTTATTTTAAATATCAGTATACAGGCACTGCGAGAGATATTTTACGCTTAACAGTTAGTTTGAATTTAATTTAAATACGAAGAGTCTTGAAATATTCAAATTCTATTTCTTGGCTTTCGATAAACGCGAGGATTATCACTGAGATACTATCTGATACAAAATTCGCGAAGAAGGAATAAAGATAAAATTTAAACAAATTTATACTATATTCTGTCCATGTTTGGAATTCCTAATCTGTCTTCTGGGGGAATAAAAACTGACTTCGTATAAATTAATTTAACTCTCAACATTTCTTGTAATATGTAGCCCCGGGTGTCGAAAACTGGCTTTTTCAAAGTTAATAAAATAGCAGCACTTTTTCCCCAGCTAATTCCTTTTTTCTATATATAGAATAATCTATGGATCGAGCCTACGATACGAACACTTTTAGCATATATGCAAAATTTACGTTTCACGACGCTTCACATTGAACGATTAATTGAATCCAATGACTAAAATTTGGCCATTTTGATTCTGCAGTCAGAATTTAGTTTACACGCGAGCAAAATTTATTATATTTATAGGTACAAATTGTGAGTGTTAGTTTTATGTGTGTGAGTGTGAGTGCAGTTGAATGAGTGAAACTCATTTGTCCTATAATTGTGCAATGTACGAATACCGTCCAGTGTGAATGATATTTGAAAGAATGTATAGCAGAATGTGCGAAAATGAAATAATTGTCTGAGAAATATTAAAGGGTGAACGCGTGAAATTAATAATTATTAAGAGTGAGTTACTGAGAGAAGAAACTTCTGTAAAGAGTGAATCGATTTTATTATATCAAATAGTTTATTATTAACCCTTTGCACTCGACAATTTTTTGGCTAAAGAAGAGTAAGAGTTCAAAGATTTTCTGTTATAAAGTTGATAATATTTTTTGAACAGTAAATAAGAAACCGTATAATAATTAACAGGTAGAATTATTTGATTTCGATACCTCGAACATCGTTACATTATCTTAAATTTGACGTATTAATTAATATCGGTTTTCGAAATTTTATTGACTGAAGGGTGCCTCCCGAGTGCAAAGGGTTAAATTAGTTTAACTGAAATATATTCTATGAGTTACTTGCTAAAAGAGTCTCGTATATTATTGTATATTATTAATTTAATTTGACTATACAGCCAAGGTTGAAATTACTCGTTGACAGATTTTAATTCCCTCAGGAGTAAAAATTGAATTTCTCAGTCAAAATTTTCCCATTCAACTTCACAGTCGAAACTTAATTCACTGGTGAATTATCTACTCGTAGAATCCAGTTTATTTTTCAATAAAAATTATTACACTTGCACAGGTTCTCGCAAAGTATTCAACCCTCGCGTCCATACCGAATAAAATTATACATTTCACCCTAGTAATCCAAATCCACCTGCCACCCAAGTAACCTAACCGAAGGGACCAATTAACATTACTATTCTAGAATTCTTCGAGCCATGTGACAGGGAAGTAACGCGATAAGTAGCCTCGAGCGGGCAGCATACATACATTTCCCCTGGAATGTCCGAGAATTCGGACGAATCCCGGTGTAATTGAGCAAATAAATGAACGTCACGCGCAAGGATGCATTATTCCCGTCCCACGGATGCCAAGAGCTGTCCACCTGGTTGAAACCGGAGAAAATTAAGGGGAACGCTCGACAAAACGAACGAACGAAAATTCCATAAAACGTCTAGCCATGCTTCGCGTAAAATCGGCCAAGCACAAAGGGATCCGAACGACCTACCCCCGAAAATCGAGGTCTTGACGAATCCAGCGAAGGCTCCGCGATTATTGCACGGAGAATTTCGCCACGAGACTACGAAATCGCGTATAATCTGCGCGTAGTCCGATTCCATTGACCATTAGAGTCAATAATGTATTCGGCACTCTGGAGATTACGGGAATATCGGGCAGCTCGGCCGTTCCATTCAAGAACGATTGATAATTTCTCTTAGCATGACAAACGCGCTGTAGGCCGCGCGTAAAATCGAACAGATATTACGTATCTACGAGGACAAACGATCGCGATGGAATTAATAACAACGATTGATAGAACCTTACAGAGCAGAATTAAATTAGGCTAATAGAGAGATTCGAGAAGGAGAGCGAGTTGACTTGTTCGCGCGAGATGTCGCAGCGGATTGGTTGAAAACGATTTCATTTTTGGTGTAAAATGATAATTAATTCCTTTGAAACGAGAATATATCGTTAAATAATACTTATAAAGTGATATCCTTCGACGTGAGATGTGTTATATTAATTTCGATACTTGAAATATTAAATAATTATTTCGTTTAAAAACAAAAAAGATATTAACCCTCTATGGGCCCGTGTAACTTTCAAGTTACATGCTAATGTATGGGTATTTTATTAAATACTATATACAACGTTATCGTCTTCATCACTCCAATTCGCGATTTTTCTTTCGATATATTTATAATTATTTCTACAATACCTCCCGTGGGTCCATTTTTAAAAATTTTAATTCTTTTTCATTTACCGGTTATTCGATCACGATAGGTTAGGTCCTCTATCGCCCCCTATGACTTTTTTCCACAAGATGGCGTGGAAAATTATCTTGTCTATCTATTGCACGCTATTTTGGCAATAGTACAAAAGTTGTTAATTCAAACTTTCAATGTGAATTCGTTATAATAAAATTCTCAAAACTGTTGAATTTATTGGTTGATATTTGTTGATTTTATCTTACATACAATTCTTATAGTCAAGAAAAATATATATTCGGTCCATAGAGGGTTAATCAATCTTATTTAATTCCATTAATTTTATATTCAATTATACGAGAAATTTTCTATCTCGAATATTTTCGTAATTCCCCTAAACTTCTATTAAAATGAAAGATTATTTCACAAGTACAAAAGCCGGAATTTCAAATTGTTCCAACTATCGAAATACCACACTGGGTCTACTGGAAAACTCCGGGGAGAACAAAGATACGACCACGTTCGATTCACTTTTCAAGACCATCCAGACACGAGCCACCCTCCTCTAATTGCACCGCGCGGGGTAAACGGCAACAACGTGGTTATTCTACTTACTGTCCTGAAAGGGTCCCTCTTGACACATCTCCATGATCGCCATGTTGGTGGACGTGTACCACTGGTTGAAGCGCACCCTTTGTTTCTGCTGCAGGCAGTTGAACGAGTAGGACTGGATACACTTCAGGCTAGCCTCGAAGTCTCTGCAAGAAGCAAGAAAGAGTCCTTGAAACGGCTGTAAATGCATAATGGTAATTAGGATGCCGAGGAATGGCACACGAGTGCCGTCGACCGACCCACTTCCAGCGGGATTTAACGTCACCCGAGCGAATTCGTCTCTACAGAGCCCGTAATAAGAGGACAGGAATTGTCCTGTGCATCGACGTCACCGACGATGACGGCTCGGGTAACGACATTTCGACTCGACGAGAGCAATCTCGTCATTTCCGCCGCGAAAGAATGTCTCGTAGGAGGGGTCCTTTGCGACTTCCGGACTTTCCACGACGGATAATTGCAGTCGAGTACATGACCAAGTACGAATAGCCAAGAATTTTTCGCGTTTGGATCTGGTACCGGTCTGAGATCCGGTGATAGAGAGGCAATTTTGAGATTTTGTGGATTTATGGGGGATGAAAGTGGAGTAATCGGATAATTACTTGATAATATCCCTCGATTAAGGAATATTTTAGATATTGTTTCATAGCAGTGTAGCGAGCACCATTCAAATTTAAAATGATGGCAGTTAAAAGGATTTTCACAACAAAAGTAAAACTTGTTAAGAATATAATGAACCGATGTAGATGAGATGCTCACAAAAGGGATTAAACGTGATCTGTAGCATATGAAGAATATTCAGCAACTGGTAATGGAAAAAGTCAGCTCGCGGAATATTCCGCGCTCGGTGATAGACGACAGTCGTGGCTCGCGGAATATTCCGCGCTTGGATGCAAATGGGTTAAAACACATTACTGTGTAAACATATATCTAGAGTTCACAAAAGAATGAATAAATCTCATTTATCCTTAGTAATTTTGCATGTTATGCATCACTGCTCTTTCAACGGAAATTAATTCCGACCAGTATGACAACCAAGTCCGAATTTAATACGTCCGCAAAGGGTTAAAATTTGAATCGTTGAAGAATAATTGTATCTTGAAAAATGCTATATTCTCGAGAAAGGGTATTATATTATACGAGTGGAAATGTTTCAACGGTTTCAACTACCTTCGCGACAATAAATCTCGCCGTGTTTACGCAAAGCCTGCGGAAACAAGACAAAGCTTTGGAAAAATTGAACGCGATTAGCGTTATTATATTCCAGAGGCGGCTTTTCATAAATTCATAACACGGCGCGGGAATAAAACTTATTTAATAAGAATAAATTTAATAACATAGAGCCCGAAGAGGAGTGTAGGCAGGAGTTTCTAAGAGGATTTTCTTAATACGAAAAGTACTTTTTCTTATTCTTAATTAAGGGAAAATCTTGGAGGTTTGGCAAAGAGGCCCTTTTATAACGATCAACATTAACAGCCTTACTTCTCATCGAAATAGAATGTTGTACATCAACTCGCCACCAATTTTAAATTGCATGTTCGTTTCTTCTCGAGGAACGGGGACGTCTGACGAAGATTAAAAGGAACTCGATCTTTTCCAACTATTTGAACAACAAGATAACTGCAAACGAAGTAATCAAACATTTAATCGATACCTAAACAGATTTCCAATCAGAAGGCTACACTTCGAATCCTCAACCGTCGAAATATGCCAAGTGTGTCGATGAAATTTCATCAAATCGTTAGAGGAGTAATTGCAAAAATAATACAGACGACCTGAGAGCACCGGGACAATCGTAAATAATAAAAAGCCAGTCGACAATCGAGAAATGCTTCGGTAATCGCGCGAAATAATTCGAAACGAATTATCAGACGATTCAGTTTCTTCGCAACGTGACAATTCCATTATCACCGATACCAGGAACAACGAAAGAAGAGGAGGAAGGACAGGGGAAAGGAAAAAAGGGGGAAGAAAAGGGAAGAATTCCAATAACGGAAACCGGGACGTCTTTACTTCGGCAGCGGAGCAATTATCTTGCTGTTGCTTATTGGAGCGATCCCGACAGTTTCCCTTTTATTTCCTTTAACCTTCCCCGACACTCGTCGAATATCACCCTCCGGCTTCATCGGGGCGGCGCATTTAAATTTCAGATTTCAATTTCAATTTCACGGGCCGAGGGAAATTGAAGAAAGCGTGGACGGGCAGCGTACACGAGTCGATACTTGCAAAATTTAAGATTATCGCTCAGATCACCGCTCCTAGGGGAGGGACCAGATTGAGCGTCGTTGGGAATAAAATCTAACCGCGCAACCCTCGCTTGAGCAGTCGGGTTAGAGGGCCGACAGGCAATTCCGGGAATTTTCAGGATGAGGGATATTTTGTTAGAGGATATTTAGATCGCGTATTTTGCTCAAATAGATTTTCGTATTTCGAAATTCCTTTTCACTTATTTCTTGTTATTTTCCCCTGTAGGTGCTAAGGGATGATTACAGGGTAATATAGGGTCGTGTTTAATTTCTGTCCTTGTAAGTAATATGGGATGGTAATAGATAATGGTAGGAAGGATGAATGATGAAGATCAAGAATTTCTTGAAATTGTGCTCAAATAAATTTTCGTATTTCGAAATTCCTTTTCACTTATTTCTTTCCATTTTTTCTTGTAGATGGCGAGGGATGATAATAGAGTAATACAGGGGCAGATAAATGGTGGTGTTGAAGAATTTCTTTAAATTATATGGTTTTTGAGACAGGCTCCCGTGTTTAATTTCGGTCCTTGTAAGTAATAAGGGATGGTAATAGAAAATGGTGGAAAGGATGAATGATGATGATCAAGAATTTCTTTAAATTATGTGCTCAAATAAATTTTCGTATTTCGAAATTCTTTTTCACTTATTCCTTGTTATTTTCTCTTGTAGAATCTAAGGGATGATAATAGAGTAATATAGGGACAGATAAATGGTGGTGTTGAAGAATTTCTTTAAATTATGTGCTTTTTGAGACTGGCTATGATGTTTAATTTCCTTTCTTTATCAGTAATAAAGGATGGTAAGAGACAATGGTGGAAAGTATCAAGAATTTTTTTAAATTATGTAGTTTTAGCATTATTATTAGTATTTAATTTCTTTTTTTAAAGATAGTAAGAGATGACAATAAATAATAGTGGGAAGTCTAAATAAATAGTGTTGAAGAATTTCTTTAAATTATATAATTTCTGAGACAAGCTTTAGTATTTAATTTCTTTTTTTAAATATAGTAAGGGATGACAATAAATAATAATAGGAAGGCTGAATAATAGTAATGAAAATATTCTTTAAATTATGTAGTTTGTGGGACAAGCTTTAGTGTTTAATTTCATTTTTTAAAGACAATAAGGGATGATAATAAATAGCGATAGGAAGGCTAAATAGTGATACTTGTATTCTCTCTTTCATTTAGACAATAAAAAGCGACAAATGACAATAAAAGATAGTTTACACAATATTATTAAATAAAACTACAGAAAACTTTCTCATATTCACGTATATATTATTTCTCCTAATTCAATGTAAAGAAAATTGTATTATTAATATTTTTCAACATTCATCGAGATTAAAAATTTAAAAAAAACGAATATGTTTTCCTTTCGAAATTTGTAGAACCTCTTTCAGTCAATGTATACTTTCTACTTTCCTGTTCCAAAAGCTCTCAGGTAACACTCTCAAAACGTACTACTATCGAAAACAACCAAAGCCCGAAAATTAACTTTCCTAAATTTCCAGCCAATCACGAGCCCTTAGAAATATTCAACGACCCGTGTATTTCACGGAGAAAGAAGGAAAGAAAATTGCAGCAGAGAAAAGGACAACGGGTCACGATATATCCAGCGAAACTGTCGAGCTCGTGCATTTTTAATCGACAACGATAATATCACGCGGCAGAGTAAATCATCTGCTCAGGATGTTGCACGCCTTTGGGTTCATTGTTATCGGATCAATTGCGATGCATTATTTCGCGTGTTGAATCCACGTAACCGGTTTACGAGCAGCCGCACGGATAACAGGCGGTTCAAGAGTGCCGGCTCTGCATTAAAATTTCAAATTTCAATCGCAACTCGAGCCGCGGGAGATTCGCCTGAATTCGTCTTGCTCACGCCACCGCGAAATTACCGGCACGCGTTCGCGAAATTCAAGAATCACACGGCGGTTCTTGATCTCGAACGAAACCGGAAACCATCGATCGTTCTTCCTCTGCATGGCTGTCTCGCGAGAGACTCGGGTCCCCGAGACATGGAAATTGCAAATTGGAGCACGGCTGGGCGAAGAGAATTACGGCGGAGGGTTGAAATACTTTTTTCGGCTGAAATTTAATAAAATCGCGAAACCTAGAGGCGAATAGTTTGCAATTTTAATTTAATTTTTACCCTGAGACGACCACACGCTCTGTGTTTCGTCGTATACTTTCACGGTTACTGTATTTTATTAGTGTCCGACATTTTTGTTTTCATTTTGCCGTCGTTTTCACTCGGGGCTCAGGGACGAACGTTTCAAAGGGAGATTTTTAAACCGATATGAGAATAGAATATCGAGAATATACAGATAAAATCGCGAGTTGTCGATCAAATTCTAAATACGAACGTGGAGTGAAAGATTTAATAGATTCTACTACGCGTCGATTCTTGTGCGGAATAAAATTGACCTGTACCGGGGAAAATAATAGGATAAACTTTGCATGGAAACGAATTCGTGATTTGGAATGACTAGATTACGGGAATTTGGGGAGATTTAGTCACGAAACTGCAGTGAAAAATGCTTTCAAACACCGGCTCGTATCTACTATAATAAACAGAAAAGAAACACGGTTATTTGAAAATGCTATAAACCACCCTATTTTACGTCCTTCGAAATACCCCATACACGTATTGAAAATTCCATCAGAGATTCGACCATCTCACCTGTAAAGACTTAACGGGAGTACCGTGTCGCACAATTTTCAAAATAAAAATAAGCAAAATTAAGCAATTAACCCTTTGCACTCGAGAGATTCTAAAGATCGGCGTTAATTAATATATCAAATTTAAAATTTAAAATTACCTAATGTGATGTGTGGAATGTCGAAGAAAAATAATTCTACGTCTTAATTTGCATATGATTCCTCATTTACCATTTGAAAA